TCTCTGTCACCAAAGAAGCAGAAACATGAAGCGAAACAAAATTGGGACAGGTGACGGCAGAAAACATGACAGCCACTGTGTAACTGTTCTGCTATATTGACTTTTTTGTACATATTTTATACAAAATACTCTTTTTAGCTTAAAAAAACACACTAAAATAATTACAAGGACAGCATCCATGGTGCAAAGCACACAGTAAATTCTCAAAATACCTTTCAGGCTTAATAAATTTCTCTGTGGGTGCTAAACATTTTTATTTTCATTGACATTGCCCTGTATTTTGCTCTTTGGTAAAATGCCCCAAAAATGCATATTTATTAAGGCACATGCTATTTACTAATTAGTAGGCTGCAACATTCTATAGTTGATTGTTTTTGATATTGCTACTTTTATACACACAAACCTTTAGTAAACCAGGGCCTTGCATCTTATTAGGAGTTGTTCCTTTGGTACGACTACTAACAGTGTTCAAGTTTGAGTTTTAAAGAATATTTTTGAATCATGTGCTTCATTGTATCATCCTGCTACTGGCGAGCTGCCTCTTCGGAGGCGTGGCCCATGCAAAGGGGCCATGTGAAGAGGCTCATGGGAGGTGCACACTCTCTGAAAAGGGACTTGTTTATGTTGTCGTCTGTTAGTTAGAAGATTGTTATGTGATATTGTGTTATTTGTGTCTGGGGTGCAGGTTGCTTGTGTGTGAGTTGTGGGGTCACCATGAAGTGGAAGTCTATGGCTATTGTGGCCAACCCCACAACCCAATCCTGGGTGTGATTGTATGTATGTGCCTTGTGCTGGTGTCAATAAAGAGCATACTTGCAGCAGAGTCATGTTCTTCCTATGTCTTACTCTACTCCAATACCACAATACATAAGGCTTCATTTCAAAATGCATATAGACCACTTTTTTCCAAGATCAGAGACATATCAAAAGAGAGACACACACACACACAAGACAGGACACCCAAACAACACAGAAGTAAGCAGGACTTCTTAGTAATAGTAGCAAAATAACACATACTTGTGGCGGAGGTACAGAGGCTGACAAAATAGAATTTAATACAATTACACTACAAATTACTAAATCCAAAAAATCACACACAAATGCTTGGAAGTGTTTGACTTAACAGTGAATAAATTACACACACAACACACACCTACCTTCAACACGACAGTACTACGTCTGTTCTGCAGTACCTTACGATTACAACAATCACAACAACAATGACAACAACAAGAAGAACAAAGAGAAAACTGGACTCCACTATTAAAGCAACTGTGAGTGTGGCTTTTACATTCGGTATCAGGAAAATGTGTGTCCTGGCTTTATTTCTGTACGTGCCGTCATCTCACATCTGTCAGAGAGCAACAAAATAGATCATCAGTCATGTGACATCTTTCCGCATAATTACAGCATACTACCCAAATAGAATAAAGCTTGGAAGGTCCAAGTCAACATACATGTTTATTTCTAAGTGAAAATAAGTTCACACATTCTACAGAGAAACACACATAAATACAGCATTTTGTGTGCAAACCATAGAGATGAACATAGGAAAAAATAAAAAACTATCTATGCATTAAAGCATATACTGACACACACACATTATGACACTCAATAACGCGTCGACTTACTTTGACGTGCGCTTACAAGTGAAGAGAGCGTCTGAGTAGGTGCCGTTTCTGTACATCCATCACATTCAGTATCTTCAGCTGACTGTTCTGCAAACATACAGTTCTCGCTCAGTCACAGAGAATAAGTGCAAATCATTAATGGGAAAACGTGAACAATGTTGTTAGGCACAGTTGTGGTTATACACTAACCTTTATGCTTTATATTGTGTCCAGGGATCTGCATGTTTGTGGTTCACAGCATCGTACACAGCCGTCGTTTGTTCATCAGTACACAGTAATGAGTCATCTAGTGGCTCACAGACTGGATCTGATAGATTGAGTGCATGGAGTCGTTACTCTAAGCCTTGACCTGCGTGAACAAAGCAACTCTGTAATCTAAAACATATGCTGTAAAATATTTCGATTCACCCATATAGACAAATTTATATATTAATATGCATTTCTCTATGAAGGCCAGACTGTACAGAGCTCACACACTGTACATTAGTGAGTCCGTTGGTTCAACTGTGGCAAGTTGATGCAGGACACGGAGCACAGCTAGTGCTGAATTCTCAGTGCAGTGCTCATGAACATGGGATCCTAAAAAGCATAAATATGAGCTGACAGAATAGGTTTGGAAATGATAAAGATGATAATGCATGTTTTCTCTTAATGCGATGTGGTAACAAGCATTTTGTGTTCTATGTGTGTCTCCACTGTAACAAAACTATGTACCTCACAAGCGTTTAAGGAGAGAGAGGGAGATCGTTTGATATGTGAAGATGTTCAGGCTAGAAAAGTAATTGATGATTTCAATCCTACTAATTATATGCTGTATGGTTCTCTATATGTGAAGCTGTGGTGTGTG